AGCAAGAGCTGCCTCAGTACCAAAATGCGAGGTTAAATTCGATTCAATTATAATAGACGATGATCTTCAGCTCTTGATCCGTCTTAAAAATGTCCGTAGGAGACAATATCAAAGAACACGCGATCCTGCCATGAAGGTTATCTGGCGGGATTTGCAAAAACAAATTAAAAAGCGATTCTCTGCCCTGAGGAACAAAACTTTTGAAAATAATATTTCTAAATTAGACCCGAGTTCCAAACCCTTTTGGAAACTCACAAAAATTTTGAAAAAACCTCAAAAGCCTATTCCAGCGCTTAAAGAAGGTGGTAAAATTTTGATCACAAATTTGGAAAAAGCTCAGAAACTTGCTAAGCAATTCGAGAGTTCCCATAATTTCAGTTTGGGTCTTACTAGTCCTATTGAGAATCAGGTTGCTCGGGATTATCTGAATATTTTCTCTCGGGAAAATATTTTTGATGATTCCTGGGGGACTGATTTGGACGAAGTAAGGTCTATAACTAAAAAGTTTCAAAATATGAAAGCTCCAGGTGATGATGGAATTTTCTATATCCTCATCAAAAAACTCCCAGAGAGTACCTTGTCTTTCTTGGTAAAATTATTTAACAGATGTTTCCATTTGGCATACTTTCCTGATAAATGGAAAAATGCAAAAGTGGTTCCAATTTTGAAGCCGGATAAAAATCCAGCTGAAGCTTCTAGCTACCGTCCAATAAGTTTGCTTTCTTCAATAAGTAAACTTTTTGAAAAAATAATTTTGAATAGAATGATGCTTCACATCAATACGAATTCAATTTTTGCAGATGAGCAGTTTGGATTTCGCCATGGGCATTCAACTACTCATCAACTCTTAAGAGTTAACAATTTAATTCGTTCAAACAAATCTGAAGGCCACTCAACTGGAGTTGCTCTTCTAGACATAGAAAAAGCATTCGACAGTGTTTGGCATGAAGGTTTGATTGCTAAATTGAAAAAGTTTAATTTTCCACTTTATATTATGAAATTAGTTCAAAATTATTTAACTGACAGAACTCTTCAAGTAAATTATCAAAATTCCAAATCTAATCGACTACCTGTTAGGGCAGGAGTTCCTCAGGGTAGCATTCTTGGGCCTATATTGTATAACATTTTCACTTCGGACCTCCCTGATTTGCCTCAGGGTTGCCACAAATCTTTGTTCGCTGATGACACAGGCATTTCCGCTAAAGGAAGAAGTCTTCGTGTTATTTGCAGCAGACTGCAAAAAAGTTTAGATATTTTCTCTTCTTATTTACAAAAATGGAAGATTTCTCCCAACGCTTCCAAAACTCAACTTATAATATTTCCACATAAGCCTAGAGCTTCGTTTTTGAAACCTAGTAGTAGTCACATAGTCACTATGAACGGAGTTCCAATTTCCTGGTCAAACCAAGTGAAATATCTTGGATTAATACTTGACCAAAAATTAACTTTTAAAGATCACATTGAGGGCATTCAAGCCAAATGTAACAAATATATAAAATGTTTGTATCCTCTTATAAACAGGAAATCCAAACTTTGCCTGACGAATAAACTTCTAATATTTAAACAAGTTTTTAGACCGGCCATGCTTTACGCTGTGCCAATATGGTCTAGTTGCTGCACTACCAGGAAAAAAGCACTTCAAAGGATTCAGAACAAAATTCTGAAAATGATTTTGAAGTTGCCTCCCTGGTACAGTACTACCGAAGTACATAGAATTTCGAATGTTGAGACTTTAGCACAAATGTCCAACAAAATAATTAATAATTTCAGGCAAAAATCGTTGCAATCCTCAATTGCAACGATTAATTCCCTTTATACTTAGATAAGATTTAGTTTTAGTTTTTAGTTTTAAGATATCAATTGTTATACTGACATGCAGGTTAAAAAACCTGTTTAAAATACTGAATTGCCAAGACATGAACAATGTAAAAACACTTAGATATATATCATAACAATTAAGGCTGGTACGTTACTGCAGTAACTGGAGCACCTAGGTTAAAATGAAATGTAATTTATTTTGAATTTGGAACAAATAAAGAGTTAAAAAAAAAAAAAAAAAAAAAAAAATTCTTTAATTGAAAGTCGTTGTTTTGGTTGTTGTTTCTTTATTAAGGATACTTTCAGCCCAAGGCTAGCTCACACGTTGTCAAGGGAACGCAGTAGGCTCTGTCCGCGAACGGTTGGTTTTGGTTCTGCTGGCGCTGATTTCATCTGTTTTCCGCATATTTTGTAATTGTACCAAGGCAAAAAATATTAGTTTTTGCGTGTGGATAAGCGTAAATCACGTTTTAATAAGCTTTTAGTGATATTGTAATTAACGTGAAAATTCTAGGACAATAATTTGTTTCGAGTAGCTGTGTTGCTATGGTGTCGCGTTGGTCGGTATTTCTTTTCGCTTGTTTTTGGTGCTTTGCCTCCCGCCCAAGAAGAGTTTTACCGGGTATTTTTTTTTTCTTTTCTTGGTGCTGGCGTTCCTTCCGGAGGATGCACGCGAATGAGGTGTTAGGCAAAAATTCAGTCCAAAAGAAAAACTTCGCATGTGATTCAAAATGTTGTGTTCGGTTGTAACGAGTGAACAAACCGGTGCATTCTCGGAGGCAGGACTTGGTGAGAACCATCTGATTATAAATCAATCATAAATGCATATTTCCATCACATTTCGAAATCTGGAAGTGTGTACTGCAACCATTATTCATATGATAACGGTAGTGTTTACACGCGGGGCTTATTGTATGTGAAAATAACCTAGGAATGGACGTGAATTACCAGGCATTCTGAAATGGGGTGCTGAATCTGCAGTACAGCTATCGCTTTCTAACTCCCGGAATAAACTTGCATTAACTTATTAAATCAAGAATTGTTGTAAACAAATTTCTTACATAATACACAGATGGAATACACACACATACACAAGGCTAGCTCACACGTTGTCACCTTTTGGTTTGCCGAACAGCATCCGAGACGTTCTCGGAAATGAACCATCCACCATAGCAGCAGTTATGTGCTTCCTGAAGGAAGTAAGACTTTATCACAAAATCTAGGATCGGCAGCATAGCATTCCACAATAGATTTTGCTGGAACGTATTTCTGGGTTTCTGTACAAAACAATATCATTAGAAAACTAAATTCAAATTCATGCATTAAACAAGGTGTTTACCCGTTGCAACTAAGGCTTCCATAACCTTTTTCTTAACCGGGAGGCCTACATTTTCGTCGAATAGACACAGCTCGATAAGACTGTTGCCCAGGTACTGCAAATGAGTCAAAAACTCTTCATGTACATACTGCTTTTGCAACGTCTTCATCGATAGCTTAATAATCCTTCAATATGTTTAACAAGTTCAAATCGTTGTTCGGTGCTAACCAACTTTTCAAGTATACTTTCACAATAAATACATTAAATTGAGCCAGGTGAGTTTTTAGCTGTTTAAGGTAACTCAAATTCGTGTCTGCAGATTAACATTTTCAACGAATACATTATTTTAGCCATCCATTTCGCATTGTGGAGAGCTTTGACTTTTAATTTGTTATCCATCTTTCCACCCAAAAATAAAATCGCTATCTGTAGAACTTCTCGGTAATCCTTTCGGTGGTGTTGCTCAATGATTTGTTTCTCAAAAAGGTTTAATAAAGTCAATCTTTCCGTTTATGTATTCCCTGTTTAAAAAATATCAGTATCCATACCTGAGTTGTTTGATTGAAATTTTTTGAAAATCTCGACATTAGGAAACTGTGATGTTTCAAATTTTAGCTCATGACGCATGAAAGTTTAGCTCATGATTTGTACATTTTAGAATGAAAAAGGTCAAATTTTGACCACGTTGCACCACCCCTAAATCAAGTCCGATTTAGCTCAAATTTTGCATAGGGTCGTTTTTCAAGGCAATAAACATACGCGAATCGCTTCTAACCACACTTTATCGACAGGTGACGGTTGTTATTTACATCAGAAGTGAAGTTGAAGTGAAGTGTAGGGTGAGAAAGCCTTAACTCCGTTCCATCTTCAACCTATCTTTCGAGGAAAGCAAACCACCCTCATATGTCAAAATTTTAGGTTATAAGCGGTTTGTGCAAGACTTCATTCTGGAAAAATGCCGAGTGACAGCTGGTTTTTTCCCGAGAGGAAAGCAAGTGCAATATTGCGCATTTTGCACCACTCCTGTGCAAACAAAAAACCATCGGCGCATGAACTCCAGCTAATATTGAATATCGAGCAAGGCCGGGTACAGTCAGCTAGATTAACATACGCTGGTATCTAATCTGTTAGATCTTCGCATTCTTTAGGAACAAGTGCAACAAACCTTCAATTTTTCAAGTGAGCTCCATCTCCAATAAAACTTCAATGTGATGACCGAGCTCAAGCACCGATCAATCTGCTAAGCTCGCATCACTCACTACACCCCACTTTGTAAGTGACAAATCTCTCATCGCTCGGATCGTCCGATCCCCCAGTGGTCGACCCGCTTCCACCCACTTTCTGAATGTACATATACAAACACACACACACGCATCTTAATCCACATAACTTTTTTTCCTTTATCTCGTTGCTCTACTCCCGATTCCGCGTTCTCTCATAAATCATCATCTGCGCATAATTCCAACAGCGAAGCGCGCGCCTCTCCAACCACCCGAATTTTAATTGTACGTGTGTGTATGTTTATGTTGGCACGCTGCTGGTCGCGATCTCTGTCTAGTAACCTTCCAACTGGCATGTTGTTGCTGCTAATATAACAAGTGATGTGATTGAAAGGATCGTACCGGAGAACGTTTGAGAAGAGACAGGCAGGAATGAATAAATTTACTGAGAGAGAGAAATTGCGCGCCCCGCGAGAGAACGATCAAACGGGTGGTGGTTGTTGTTGTTGTTGTTGTAGGTACCGACTAATACGCGTTTTCGGTGCTGAGCTTTTTCCGCCGTCGTCGTCGTCGTCGCCGGTCGGTCGTTTCGAATGCATGAATAATGAAAACATAACGAGTCCGTGTCAGTAGACTATCAGACAGCCATCAGTTAGTATCAGGCGGCACCAAATATCCCCGAGCGTGTGTATGATCGAGTTGTGTGTTGGGCGCGATCGGATGCGAGGACATCGAAGTTTTGCGCGCGCGCACATGCTTCCGAGATTTATCGACCGAAGAACGATTGATCGATCGTCGGTTGCAGTTTCAGAAGACAAGTGGCAGTCGAAGGCGCATCGCGGCGCGGTGATGAATTGATTGACTGTTTTGTGGCTGCATTCGCTTGATGACATACTGATGCCGCGCAGCAACCTGTTACGGTGTCGTTCGGCCAGGGGGGAAGATCAGTGGAACATGTGATTTATTGGGACCGACGACGAGAACGGTGAAGAGTATCAGTTGATGAGTGTGTGAAAAAATTCGCATCGTTGCTGCAGGGCAAAAAGATGGAAATATTTGTGATATTATTTATTGTTTGAAAAATTTGATACCAAAACGAGAGCGAGTGCAAACTTATGAGACAACGCTGCAACGGCAGCTGGATGGGGAAATTGAAATTTTAAGAAGTATGACAGTGCAGCAGATTGTTTTTGTCAGATGAGTGTTCGAATGAGGAATTATTTAACCTGGGTTCGGTGAACACGTTGGATGTGCTCCGAGTGAGGTATGCAGGATCGTTGGAACAGCATATAGGCAGAGCTGTTCTAGATAGGTTAGTAGAACAATTGATGTTTCCCAAAATTACTTGGTTTAACTAAATAGTCGTGACTAATTAACCGAAACCGTACATTTTATTTTGATTATGAATATCTTTTAGAAGCTTATAGACATACTCGTTGGGCTACAGTTTGCTTTAATCGTACATAGTAGTTAAATACCAAAACAGCACCAATTTTTTTAGATTGGATGTGAAGATAAACTTGATTTCAATCAGAGTTGGTCGGAAATGCTATCTAACATGAGGCTTTAGTGTGATAATTTATTAGCTAGAGAATGGTCTTAAGAGAGGGTAGGTAGATAGTTCCGCTAGAGTACGGCAGTATGAAAATTGAATAGAAGTTGGAAATGAGCGAAGGGCCATTAATGCGACAGTACCAAGTCAAACGCACACTTGATTGCAATATCAACGAAATTTAAAGTCAGACCTAGTCTGGTAATAAGAAGAAAACACATTTGGGACCACATTTGGTACAATTAATACGATTTAATATTAATTAATAAGAGAATACGTAGAATGACCAACTCTATCGACTGGAATACACAGAATTGATGAATATTTTTTGTTGTGTTCAACGATCAGGGGTCCAGTGACGCCTAGTAGATTACCGTTTCGTGGTGTATTACTGGCATTAAGATCTACCTCCGAAACCTAGTCCAAACTACTTCAAACTAGGGGAACAGGATTTTTTTTTGTAATCTAAGGAACACATCTTAAAGGCTGACTAAAAGTAAATTGGCCCGCACAAAAAGACCTGCCTTTCGTGATTCAAAAAGTTTAAAAAGTCCATTAATGGTTGCTTTACAGTACTTTTACTAAAACTTCAAAGTTAGAGCATTAGATGGTTATATTTCTCCAGTTCGAACGAAATCTCGAACCTTCCTCTTGATGGAGCCCATCAGCGCCCGCACAGTGGAAATGGACACGGAATCAGCACATTTCTTCCATTTTGTCAGCATTCGCTGGATGTCCTTGACTGCCCCGCCACTTCGTCGAAGTCCCTGCGTTGAAATTGCCCAGTATTTTTCGATTGGTCGAAATTTCGGGCAATTCGGAGGATTCATTAGCTTGGGAACAAAATCGATTTTGTTGGCAGCATACCACTCCAGAACCACCTTGGAGTAGTGGCAGCTGGCCAAATCGGGCCAAAAGATGACTTTGTCCCTATGCCTGCGGATGAACGGCAATACACGCTGTTTCATTATTCGATGTAAACTTGGGATGTCATTGTCGAGGATGTGACGAATGGTTCCGTTTTCAGGCCACAACTGCAAATTGTTTGTCAAATCATGACCTTCTTCGTGAACTTGTCGGCAAACACGAACTGGAATATTCCCGGCACATCCCCATGTCTAGTCGCGATGTAAAACTTTTGACCGGGAAGCTGCTTAAAATCGAGTTTGACGTGTGTTTCGTCATCGATCAAAGTGCAGCCCTTGTGTTTCGTCAAAACACGGTCGTACAAGAGCCTTGCACGCTTGTTGGCCACGGAATTCTGCTTCATGTGTCGGTTCGGATGTTTGCTGGCAGTGTACGACTTTTAGCCTTCCCTGGCAAGGATGTTCCACACCGTTTGAAAGTTGGCGTTGTTCCTTCTGGCCACATATCGGATCGAAAGACCAGGGTTGGCTATAACGCACCTCAAAAGCTTGCTGCGCAGCTGACGATCCCTGGTTCCAGTTTTTTCGTAGGTCCACTGATTTCTTTCCACACTCAGGGTTTCTTTGTAGGTTTTCAGCAATCGACAAACTGTTGTTTTCGGTATCTTCAGCACTTTAGCAAGCTTAAAACCGGACCACTCCAGATTTTCCAGGTGTTTGTGCACAATATTTTTTCTTCATTCAAATTTCATTTGACGTTATTTCTGAACACGATCGACTACTTTGATCAAATTTGCACCAGTTGTTCTCTATAGTAGGATTGGGCGATCTTGGATTGATCTTTTTCATCTCGATTTTCGATTTTTCGGATCGATTCTTTGTCCACGAAAAGATCGAAAAAATCGATCTTTTCTTTCGATCTTATCGATCTTAAAAAAAAGGTATTAATTTTTTTTAGTGTATTTACATCGAAAAAACGGTTTACTCTCACCACAGACTGCGTTGTAAATTTAACGAACATAACGTTAACATCAGCATAGCTCCCTACGTTACTATTTGCGTTTCCGATATTTACGAATACAGCAACATTTGAAGCTTTGGGCTACCTCCCTCCTGTGCTCATTGCTGCTTGCTGTCACAACATCAATTAATTTAATATTATAAAGGAAAGAATTTCTTGGGGTACCAACGTACACAAGCGTATTAAAATAAAAATCAAAAGGTCGATCTACCCAAGAGATCGATTCTTTGGTACCGGTTTAATCATTGGATTAATTCTAGAGCCAAATATAAGATCGATCCGTTAAGATAGATCTTTCTCTGAAGATCCTCCAATCCTACTCTATAGAAGTGTAAACAAACCACTGTCAAAGATTTTCGAATCCCAACACTAAAGGCGTGCTAGCGGCGCGCGAGGGGCGTACCAATTTACTTTTAGTCAGCCTTTAGTCCTTATTACTTTTTATGCCTTGTTGATAGTTACAAGACTCGGCTTTGTCCACCGAGAATGATCTTGAAACAAGGAAAAAAAATAGAAAGGTAGTTATTTTTAATAAACGTGATTCCTAATCTTTTATTCGCTGTTCTCTAGTTTGGATTCTGATGCATGGTCATTATCGGTGTTATTGCTTGATTTTGTTGCGAAGGAATCCGTGTTAAACTGATAAAGGGGTGCGCCTTTGGATTACAACACTCCGAAAGGTATAAAGAGCGGGACCTTACAATTAGAGTCGGATCCTTGCGATAAAGGCAAGAATGACAACTGTATCAAAGACGAATACTTCATCATTTCTGAATAGGGATGGAGTAATACGACATGCACTAAACTAAGGACAAGAGGCATACCACAGTAGATCAAATAACTGGTCGTAGTGGGTTTATGTCCTGAACAGAAGATAAAAAAAAGGTCACAGGGACATCGTGGATACTCGTAGATCTGGCAATATAGGAAATATCGAATGTTTTCAATGTGATGAGACTGAATCAAGGCAAGGGTGGAAAACTTGCGCTAGATTACGGTTAGACTTGTGAAACCCATGTGTATCAATTTGTGGTGCTCCAAAGGCCCACAAATTGCTATCAAATGAACAACCAATTTCTAACGGGATCAGTATGACAGTTGTCTGCCACCCCTGCTGCGCACGCTAGTGTTGATCACCATGAATAGTCATTTATTAATTTTCCATTTTTAGCAATGAAGATTTTAGAGTATCACTATTTTCAATTTAAATTTAATCTCTTGATCTAGCAGTCGGAGTCGTGTTGGAATATTTTCTCCGACTCCGATTCCGACTCATCAGTTTGTCAAATTCCTTCTGACTTTAACTCCAGCTCCTAAACTTTGACTCAGATTCTCGATATAATATTCCAATATTTTTAGAATAATTAAAAGTAATATATTAATAAAAAAAAAACAAGACGTTGTATCCAAGACACGACCGTAGAATTGACGTAGGATTACGAAAGGTAGTTTTGATGTCACAACAAAAGTATAGTATATATTAAATTGATTTCTTAACTCGTTATCAGAGAAGAAGGTTCGATAAGTTGAAATTTGGATGCAAACTGAGAGTTCTGTTTGTGAAGTTCTCTGTCGATGTCCATGTAGTACAAGCCAATCCTGGGCGATATGTTTTGGATACAAGCTCTTACTCTTTTATCAGTCATTTGTGGTCTGGTGGGTTGGATGCTTGGAAGCCAGTTTAGAACAATGCCGTGGAAAATTGTCCTCGATGTTCTTGGAGATGATAGCGGTGCGGAAATGAAATATGTATTAGGGAAAACACATCAATGATAGAATCTGAGTCTACCGGACGGTACCTACGTTTATGCTCTTTGATACAAATTTTAAGCCCCTTCTATTAAGAGAACTCGGCATGATTTTTTTTATGTATAATTCTCTTAATAGGATCAATTTGCATCAAAAGGCATAAAGATAGGTACGTTCTGGCATGCTCAGTGTTTGATATCAATATTCGGCGACTGTGTTTGGGAAACCACTTTTCCCATCACGGAAACGCCTCATTTCCTGATGTCAAAATCACGCCTTTTCGTTCAAAAAACGCATGGTACTTTTGATGTATTCAGAGTGGTTCGAGTTCGGACGCCGCTACCCTTTTGTTTTCGTAATAATTAATTTCTTTTACTTATACACTCCACATTTTATATCTCTATTTTTTTTTTCATTGGATTGCAGCTCGGTATATCTCATCCTCCGTTCATGCGGTCTCCACTGTTAATTGCTAGCCAGATGGGCTAGTTTAAAGAGATTCCTCTAACCTCTGGTCTAGCCAGGGAGATCGTCTGGGGTGGGCTACACTCGCCTCTTTTGTTGGCTAGCACGACCTCGAAACCCCAGAGCTTCAAGGTCGTCTCCTGGTTTGTCGACACTGATCCGAAGTACAAAACCTATTCGTTATTTTCAACTCTTTTCGATGTATGTAGTATGTGTGTTTGTGAGTAGTGCTGGCCAGCGATGACGGGATTCTGCAGCGGGTGGGGTTTCTCGGCGGTGGATGAACAGTACGTTCCCGGAGGATGACGGTGCTCGATGGTTGTCGCAGTATGGCACAACGGATGTCGTGCTGGAGCTCGATGGGCTGATCGACGGTGGACTTGCTGTTCACCTATTGCTAGTTTAAAGTGGTCGTCGGTAGCTTGCCGATCAACACTTGCTAAACGGGTGGTGCTGGCGGTATAGCGTTCGCCCTCGCACGTTTCGACCAACGTTTTTCTGTGGCCGGATCGCAATGACTTTTTAGCCTGTATTTAATGGGTCCTGAGGGGAATATGAGAGGTGGTCTTAGGGCTGGGAATTCCGCTACTGGGTTATTAATTAGGTCCTACCTGACTCCGTATTCAGCGGTATTAGCCGGTATTTGTTGGTAACTCTTC